ACCGGCATTGACTTCCATACAGTGCCACAGGGATGATGTTTTTTTTTTTTGAAGGCCAATGGGGAAGATTTTTCCATTGGATTTTGTATTATCGCACTTTAACCTTAATGGTACTTACATGTTTTGTTCAGCAAGATAATTTTCATAAAGTAACACCAAAATTCAGGAGTGGGTATTTACTGACATAATTTATGTCGCAGAACAAAATGTGAAATTCATTAAAAAATCCACTGACCTAAGACACGGGAACCAGGAGTGGTAAAATGCCAAATAATTTTTGGGTTTTAGGAGTCATTCCTGCACTACTCTATAGAGCCATGTTGCTAGCAATACTCAAAGTATCTCTGACAAAAGTGGAAGCAACAACATTGCAAAGAAATTTGAGAAACAGCACAAATCATGACGTGTAGATTATTTGAGATGGACAAGAAGAGACGTGTCAGACCGTTGCCGATCTTGGCCAACATTACTGTATTTCAGAGACTGTAGCGGGCTGAGTTCTGAAGCTAGAATAAAGATATCATATAAGACTAAATTTAGGGAATCCATTGGGATCAACCACATCATACAAAGTTTGGCTTAATTTTGGCAAGGGAAAAACAGCATGAGCATTTTCACAGGGGTCCCTGTCTCCTGAACTCTCACCTCAAGATATCGGAATGAAAATGGTTCGCACAAGTCTCCCCTTTACATACATGCACACTTTATGCTAGTTCCATTCAGTTTTGGGCAAAAACCATGCAGCTTTTCTCAGACAATACAGTATTGTATTTAAATATTTCTGCATCAGTGGATGGATGGCTTTCATAGATATATTGACAATAAGGGGATACTGAGCAACTTCAGAACTACAGAAATCTCCAAATGTTGGAAAAAAATAATAACAATGTCTATGTCTTTGTATCTTAATCTGATATTTTGGAGGGATTTTGACTATTTTTTTAATTAATTCTCAAGTGGTAAAAAAATACTGCTTAAATTTTGCACCACTGATATCAACTCAAAAATTGCTGACACAACTAATTAAGACATAACTGAGCATGAGAACGGCCACCATATACTTCCACTGTAATGTTCTAAGCCCTTAGACACTAAAGTTTCAAACTTTGAACAGATGCCCGACCGAAACACAATGTTTATTAAAGATTTATGACTACAAAAACTTGACACACAGTGCTGAGCTGCATCTTAAATTCATCTTCTGGTTCCCAGCTTTACAGTTGAAGCAATATGAGACAAGCATTTGTTAGACATTTTCAGAAAAGTGGTTGACTTAAGGCAACAAATATTATGAAAACAGCTAAAGCTAATTTTGTTTTTGGTCCAGGCCACAAGTTGCAGAGTTAAACTGGGTCACCTGAGTTAAAAAGTACGTTTCTAGTATTTTTCATGCATGGATACTTTTATCTATTTTGGTGTTTTGGCATTTTTTGGATAGCAATGGTTGAGTAGCAGACAGGAAACATGGAGAGAGCAGGGGAGGATATGCAAGAATGGTCGCCTGCCAGAATCGAGCTCTGTTATACAGTATATTTCTTCACCACCAGGCCACCAGGACATCCTTGAATCCTGTTATTTAAATTTCATGGCATCATGCTTGTCTCATAAAACTTTGAAAGACACAAATCTACAAAACACAACCACAGCAGCAGCAGCAGCAGCGTGTCCAGGGCCAGAGGGATCCTCTCTGTCACAGCAGCAGCGCAGCAGGTTTAAAGCTGGTTTGCAGGACAGACTGATTCCCGAGTGAAATACTTTTCTCCGTATCTGCTGGCAGGGGGAAGCTGAGTAGGCATCCAAGTAGAACTCCAAATCCAGTCAGAAAAACCACAGCCTCTCAGTGTGAAACATGTCCTTTAGAGAGAGACATACTGGCAGCACTTCTCTTACATCTAAAGCAGCTCGGCTTGCTGCGTGTTTGTCTTTCAACTCTCTTCTAGTTGCGGCCGGAGCATGAGTAAGCATCCCGCTACTTTTGCTTTTGGGAGACTACCTGAATTATTTTAGATGTATGAGGACAGACAAGGGGGGGATTGTTAGAGCAGACATGCTATCAAAAGTTGAGTGCGTAATGAAAACAGAACTTCTCTTTCCTGTCTCCCTGTCTTTTTGCTTTTTAAATTTGACTTTGTCCTTTTCTACCTGCTGTTGGCTTATAAATTCTCGTAGCAGCCATCAGTGAAATGTTTGATGCGATGCAATCACAGGCAGTAGGTAACCCAAACAGTGTTGGAGGGGGGGAAACATATGGTGGAAGGAGTATTACACTCCCACTTAATTTTTAATGCAAATGCAGTGTTTTCTGAGTTCTAAAAAAAGAAAAGGGTAACAGGTAAATCTCTGAGGTATAGTGACACTCAACAGTTGCAAAGCATCTTTGTCAGATTTAATATCATTCAGTCCCAGCAGAGCAGCTGACTTCATCACTGTTAGTCTCAGCAGTTACTTGTTACAGCAGCTGGAAAGTGCTGCTGTCCACCGATATAACACGCCAAAGTGAAAACGTAATTAACTGGGTTTAGTTGAGCCGCGACAGTATAGACAGTTAGGTCCAGTTTCACGCAGTCATTTCAGATTTACTGTTTACTGCAGCAGCAGTGAGTATCTCAGCAGAAGGACACCTCAAGAAAATGTCACATGCAATTAAAAGAGAATGGAGCGGCTCAGGCTCTAAATAATTCAGACAATGGAGCGTGATCTGGAAATTGGCTCCAAATACTGCAGCGCTGCACTTTCCCCTTCACATATCTGAATTTTTTTTTTAAAGGCTGCTGCCTGTTGTGGGAAATGTGGAAAGGTATCAGTTCCAATCATTGCCATCTCGTACTGGAGTTATTATTTATTTAAAGATACCTTTTATTCTTCGATTACACTGATCAGGATGAAAATAATGTCCTTAATGATGTTTGTGATGCCAGATCCTGATTGGTTACCTCATCTGTGCTGCTTAATGCTGCTGCTAGACGTACTAAATGGTTTTAAAGGGACAGTACACCATTTTCAGCACCACTCTACATGTAAAAACAGCTGGACAGTGTCTAATGTGGCGCTGGAGGGAGCTCTCTTAAGTCTAAAACTAGTCCATACCCATTGGTAGTTGGTAGCTTTGTCACCTTCTACCTATGCCAATCCTCAATGCCTATGTGCAGTTTCACATTGATTGACCACGTCAGTGAGTAGAAAAAGGTGGGACAGACAGAATGACTGACTGACAGAATGACACACTGACAGTTTCCATGATTATGTACAGCATACCATACCATGACTTAGTCATACCAAAAAGTAGAAAAAAAAAACAAACATGTGTAAGCATTTTTCTGTTGTTATAGCGCCACCCAGTTGCCAATTAGAGTTACATTTCTCCAGTCACCTTGAGGCGTCCTGTTCTACATATCTACCAAGTTTAGTAAAAATCGATATGGCAGTTAGGCCTAGATAAGAAATTAGCTCTCTAGCGCCCCCATTTTGTTTGATGGGGTCAATAATGGAGGGGTCCACTCAGATTATGTGTGGTCATATGCCTACAAAGGTGCGTGGTGATCGGTGAAACCCTTGAGATGTTATACACCTTTATGTGATGAGCCACGCCCTCCGCAATATTCATTGCCTTATAGAAGCTCAGTTTTAGTAAGTTTTCCAACTTTTGCCAAGAGGGAACTTTAGATATTGGTCCCTAGATTATGTTCCCCGAGTTTCATGCAGATTGGTCAAACTTCCTAAGAAGAGATCGATTTTAAGTGTTTTTCAAAAAAATCAAAATGGCGGAAAATCTCTATAACCGGAAGTTATGGTTTCTTGAGGCAAATTTGTTCCTCATGAGGAGAGGCATCTCTGTGCAAAGTTTCATGTCTCTACCACATACGGGGCATGAGATATGCCCATTCAAAGTTTGCAATTTCAATCGGTTGCTATAGCGCCCCCCTTTGGCCAACTGATGTAATATTGCTTCATTCGCATCCTCCCATGACCCTCTACCACTGTGCCAAATTTCACATGGATTGACCAAGTCAGTGAAGAGAAAAACGTGGAACAGACACACACACACCCACGTCATTATATAGCAAGATCGAAATTCCGTTTTGTGTAGATCCATGTTTACTGGATAGAAGTAATTTTCTTCTTTGCTTTAACAGGCACAATTTACAGTTTTTTGGTGATTACGGCCATCAACTGGCGATTAGTGGAACAGTGTCAAAAGGTCAGCAAGAGTGTGTATTGCAACCATGCCCTAATTAATACACTGAGTGCTACTAGTGGTCAAAAACCCCACAGGTACCTTTAAGACTCAAAATTTATGACAGGAAATCTGGGTTACAAATTCAGAGTGAGGGCATACAAAGACATGGGCATTAAGGGAAATTTAGGTTCCAGTGTTTTTGGGCCTCACCTGACCTTTAAAAGGTTTTTAATACTGATAAAAGGAAAATTCAGAGAAAAACACTGAAGATTGTGAACAAAGCACTCCACTGACCTTACACATTCAGTTACGCCACCATGGTTAGCGCTACTCAGCCTATGAAAACACTTAGTGTCTTCTGTGGCTCTTAAGGAGTTTTGTCAAAAGAGTAAGAAGTCAAAGAAGTCAAAACATAACCCTGATGTCACAGCGATGTCATCAGAGATATCTTAGCCTGCACTCTGAGTGTTCAAAGCCTGGGTTACACAGTGGGGGAGTATGAATGAAAACCAGCATTCACCTTCAAAAACTTTAAGCCACTCAAACAAAACGATACTTTCAAAAGAATACTGCACAAAAAAGAAATTGAACCTTCTGTTAAAAAAGGGTCCCCATTCCGAAAATTGGTAGTCTGCTCTCCCTGGTAATTTTTCCATTATTGAGACAGATTAGACGGATGCAGAGCAGACAATAGAGTCCCAAGAGAGGTATTCTCATGGGATTTAAACCAGGGCCAGCACTGTGAGTGTGTAAATGAGATCTCCTGCACTGACACTGGACTGACTCCTCACTGATTGTTCGATCTTTCCTGTTGTTTCTCCAGCAGTGCACCATGTCCGAACAGGCACCTGCGAGGTGGTGGCGTTGCATCGCTGCTGCAACAAGAACAAAATCGAGGAGCGGTCACAAACTGTGAAGTGCTCCTGCTTTCCCGGGCAAGTGGCCGGCACCACCAGAGCTGCCCCGTCCTGTGTAGATGGTACGCTCCAGTTGAATATTTCATGGGCTATCTTCTTTTCTTTCTTTCCTTTTTTTTGCTGATACGCCTTTCCACAAATCTTGGGGATTAGTTTTGCTGAGATCATCGATAAGTGTTCCAGCACACACTAACTCACTTAAGTGTAATTTCTTCTAGAAGAAGCTGTCAGGGGGGCGACGTATAGATTAGAGCAGTCTGTCTGAGATCATTTATAAACATCACAGTTTGTTGTTTTAGCAGATTATAACTGCATGGGAAGACTTGGTCATTGCATGTTTGATTAAATATGAATAGATCCTAAAAAGGAAATAAATTAATTTCATTACCACACAATACTATAGACACAAAGATCTTTTCATGTAATATGGGGAAGAGACCAGGGATAACTGCATATGATAATTATGCCATTTAAATTCAAATTCATAAATTGTCATGGATTTTCTCCTTTTTCTCCTAATAGAGTTTCACGTTTGTTTTATTTTTTATTTTTTTCTGTGACTAAGTGACCAATGAAATCTTGCCCACTAATGACCTTTCTGGTCGACTAACACTTGGTCGACTATTAGGGGGCAGCCCTAATCAGCGCAGATGATTAATTCACATCCAAATACTTTCTTTCCCAGGACAAGAACACCTTGCTGTCGATGGTATATTCCAGTATTAAGCACCAGTGCAAAACATTTCTGTATCCCTGACACAAGATCGTGCTCAAGGGGACTGTAGTCCCATTTCATGGGACATTTAATACAATATATCATAAACAGCGAAGCTACTATAAACACCAGGGAAATGATATTGTACCTCACAACATAAAACAAAACATATCACACTAGAGCTTAACACTCATATCAAACTCATTATTCAAGGCAAGTGTCTCGAGTCAGTTGATCCAAAACATTTCTCTAACCAAACTTTTCGACCAGCTCTTCTATATGCAGCCTGGGCAATTCCCTGAAATCTGACCTAAGACACAGGATGTGGATGCTCATGAAAATAACTTGCAACAGGATGATGACGCTGTTTTCATCTTATGGAGCTCATTATGTTCACCAATTCTCTCTCTCAGGGAACATATTAATAAATAATGCTAATTCTATAGCAAATTATATAAAATCAAGCCTGTGGTTTGTTATAGCTTTATCCTTGAAAGGTTCCATTAGCCTAATATCATCATCTGAAAAGTTATAACAATGTATGTCAATCGATCAAACATTTATTCGTCACACAGAAATTATACAAGGTACAACTCCAGTGAAATGTCATACCATTAGCTCCTTTAACTTGTGCATTGTAATTGAACCTTTTGCGTCTTCTTACTTTGTTGGCTGCTGACTTCTAATTGTCAATATTTCCAGATGGTTTTTGTCATCCATGTCTTTTGGTTGTGGAATAATTTATCTGTCCACACATCCCGAACTGCTTCATACAGCTTTACAGTGAAAAGAGATCTCACCCGTAAATAGTCAAATTTGTGGTAAAGTTGCTGTGATTGGACAAAATTGTAGGTTGCGAAGAGTTCATGGGGATTGGCTGAATTTGCATTAATTGTTGCAAACAACCCGTTTTGCTTGCTGGTATATAGGTTTGCTACTCTTCATTTTAGCCTACTGCACTGCTCACCACAAGGGTCTGCTGGGAGCTAGCTAGTGGCCCCACTCATTCCGTAATCATGCTGTCCCAACCCAACAACATTTATTTGGAAACATGGTGGCCACCCTCTGGTGGCAGCATTAATTTTGAGACACAAACCCCTTTTAGCATTGTTTATGTTGTCATTGATAGCTCTGTTAGCAATGTCAGCACAGCTATTGGTGCTAACATAGTTAACGCAGACAAAGAGGTTTCGTGGCTGAAAATGAAACTGCTTACACTGGAGCTACCTGGGGGGAAGCCGCAGGGTGGCCCCCTATGTTTCTGCAGGAATGCCGTTGCGTTACTACCGTTAATCGCGTTTGAGTGGTGCCACCAGCTAGCTCCCACTTGACCCAGGTGGTACATAGTGCAGAGCAGCCAAAGCTAGCTCACTAGCGGAGACCAGAGGGTGAGCAGTGGCTACTATGTTTCGACATGTTAGCACAGCTAGCTGTCTGTCTGTCAGCAAAGCGAACAGAAAATAAAACAAAAGGCAAGACACAAACAACACAAAACATTAAAATTTCACCACCTCTTAATGGATAGCGCTTTAAAATGCAGCACTAAAACTCAAAGAGTCAATGAAGCACTGGACTAAAAGGAAAGGCCTTGTATATTTCGCATTATTTTGGCTTGCTTTTTCCTTAAAAATTAATCAGTTAGTGACCGGTTAAAGAGTGTCAGGCTACTGGAAGCACAAGTATCGTAAACTGGTATTCCTTCTTTTACTCCACCCCCATTTTGTAGCAAAAACGCCTAAAATGACATACCCAAATTAAAATGACTGTAGCTTCTGAACCGCTCTGACTACATGCATGAGGTCTTGCCAGAAAGAAAACTCTCTGAAGTTTCTTGTGAAAGTGTCAGAAACACTCTAGGTGACACATAGAGTAATGGGCCTCTGAAGTCAGTAAAAAATGAAGATTTTGCCTAAAATAAAATAAAGGATGAATAACTGTCTGTGGCTTCATCTGAGCAGGTAAATGACACTGTGGGGCTGTAGGCACACTATGAATGAACATTTGTTTCAAATTTTTTGAAGGTTGCTCAAAGTATGACCATTCTACAGTGTTTTTTCCATGCAAAGATCCAGGCGGAGCTCCAAATGACAAGTCGGTCACTCGGCTTCAAAACAGTACTATCAATGATCAAACAACACTCAGCCAGCTTCAAACATTGTACCTTATTGAAATCAGGTGTGATTATGATAGCTGATGTTGTTTTTGACACAGAAACACCATAAAATATCACCAAATAAAGCCATATGAAATGTGAAAGTTATGATCCCACTTTCTAGACGGTATATCTCAGCCAAAACTAGTGGTAGGAGTGAGACTCTTACCTTTTATAAAAGATCTAAGTCCCCACTAACGGCTCCACATAAGATCACGAGTGATCCTTTAACTTTTCCCGTCGAAAAACGGCATGACGTGACTTGTCACCACTCATCGCGATTTTGGACTTTGTGTGTTTAGGCTGCTCTGGTGCGAAATACATAAGAAATAAAAGAAAAATACAATGTTATTTTTGAAAAGCTGAGAGCTTCCTGAATCCGGCAATACCAAACATCACATGGTTTGATGACGTAGTGCGCCTGGGAGATACCATTTAACAGAGGAGGGGGGGAGCGAGGATGTGGGCGTCCTGGCGGAGTTAAAGAGGTTAAGGCAATTTATCCAAAACCTTTCCCTAACCTTACGTTTAGTCTAGATCTCCTCTGTGCAGCTTAATGTGGTCAATGGCCTGAAATCTGAGTGAAGACACAGGATATAAATGCTCATAGAAATGACTTGGGGCAGGATAATGAAGCTGTTTCACCTTTATAACTCATTATGTTCCCCAAGTCTCTGTTTCAGGGGCATATTAATAAATAATAGTAATTCTACAGTAAATTATATAAAGTCAAGCCTGTAGTTTGTTAGAAAAGTCCCCTTGAAATGGTTCATTAGCCTTACATCATTTTAAAATGTATAATAATGTAGCAGTTGAACGACTTGCATGAACTAGTATGAGCAGTATCAGTGGTAATACTAATTTAAGTAGTAGTAGGAGGATATAAGAAATACTTTGACAGTGATAAAAACATTTGTAGCAGCACTGCAACTCTCTGATTGTCATATTAGACTGACGTAACCTTTTTATATTTGGCTGTATGCACCGCGTGGTGAATCATGGTCCTTCCAAAGAGGCTCCTGAGGTTCGTTTTAATCACCTATGAGTGAGTGTGAAGCTGCCTACTGTCTATCTGTGAAGTCAGCAGCCCAGAGGGTCTCTTAGCATGCTAATGTGTCAGACCTCTGACTCGGCTGAAGTGGCTGCTTCACTTTGGTCTGAAAAGCGCAGGTTTCTGGCTGTACTCTGGACCCAATCGTGTTTGACCTATTCCTTGACATTTTAGTATTGACATTTTCTGCAAATTAGAGCTGTGAGCCACTGGCCTCAGTTTAAAGCTCCATGGGTGATCCCACAAAAAAAAATGTTCAGCACTTAACCTTTTAATTATTCTTTCTTCTACAACCAGGGATTACCTTTAGCTCCACTCTGTGGGAGACAATTTCCTCTTTTTATGAAGACAAATGGACCTCCAGATATCTGAGGAAACGAATAGATTTGAATGTGTAATTCAGAGAGGTACAGCTGCAGAAAATACATGCAAACTTCACTGGAGTTTCTAAAAAAGTGTCTTGATCGCATGGTGACTTTGGACTTTAAAGGCGCAATAAGCGTAAATTCATCATTTCTAGATTGAAGGAATTAAAAAATTGCTATGTGAAGAACTAGAGGTGTAATTTCATCTGGAGTATAGCATTACGTCACACACCTTCTCTCTGTGTTGATCTCCAGCCCATTGTTTACAAGCTGGTCCGGCTGCGCGTTCACGTACGTTCATGTGAATCACCGCCTCCTCCCTCCTCTCGGAGCCTTTGGCCCTCCCTCCCTATAAAAGGCCAGTGAGCAATGGCAGCACATATTTTCGAAGTGAAATGGCGGTGAGCGTAACGAAACGTTCACCTGAAGACGACCAGGATCTGACATTACCTCTAAGGAAACAATGATCGTTGGCGAAGAAGTTGTCGGATAAAGAAAGGGACAGAATCCTGATTAACATTGGCCTTGCATTTCCAAGGTGGAGAGCACTGCGAGAGCTAAAGGGGCTACAATTTGACTCGGAGCTAGCTCTTCTTCTCCTGGACAGGTAGCCTAAGTAACAACATAAAGTCAAATGTTTGTTTTAATTAGTGTTACGGTAACGTTAAGCACATGTCGCTATGTCGATTCAATTAAATTTAATGTTACAATCGTAGCATGGGTTAATGTCCGGAGCTTGAGTTATTAGCGGCTCGGTCCCAGCAATGGGTCAGGCGTTA